ATATGATCTCGAGGAAGAGGCGCGAAATACAATTCTGTTTATAAGATTTGATAAATGCAACAGATATATGCATATCTGCTATTGAAAATACGATTGCAACATCCAATGAAGAAGATATCCATCCAGTACCGTCTTCTGTATCATCTCCACCATCATCCCCAGTATCTGCAATACATGGTATGTTTATGTTTTTTTATTGTAATTATTTATTTTTACTGTGACTATAATTTTCAGAACTAATTCTATTTTAATTTTTTTGTAACGAGTGTTCACTATAAACCACTCGAAGAATTGTCCACTATGGACTATTTCTGAAATTAATAAGTTTACAAATAATTTGTACAAAAACCATTTTATACATAATAAAATATTCCGTACAGTGTAGCATAGTAAGAACCAATATGAAAGAGTAAAAATAAAAGGATTATAGCTGCCATGAACCTGGTTCGATGCATAATGTAAACATGAATATCTTGATTGAAATTTAATTGTTTCATGTAAATGTTATGCTTTAAATGATACACTTATGTAAATATAACAAATGTTATCACTCCTGTTTCCTATTATATTTTACAGTTTTTTTTTCATACTTGTATATTGGTTACATATATTTAAGATAAATGTTTTACTGACCTATGTCCCTAAACATAAAACAACATAAAATGTTTAAAAAGCTAATATATTTGAAGCAATAATGGTGAACTTGATCATTTAAGGAGAATAACTCAAATAAATATAAACAGCCAAATATGGCCGAGACAGGAGCGTTGTGTTAAATAATCTTAATTCAAATAAAAATTCTAATTCATTTGTTGAATTATTATTAAAAATAATTAGTAATTCTCTCTAAAAATCATGATAAAAATATAAGTAAATATTTATATTTTTATGCATCTAATTCATGGACACTACAGCTATAATGTACACTGTTAATACATGGACTTATTTTACTTATTTTTATACTTTAGCTAATAATGAAAATAGCAGCGAATCAGAGTATTTGCCTTCCAAAGATGAATTACGTACATTAGAACGTAACGAATTAAAACAAAAAGAAAAATCAGTTTTACGTACAACTATATCCTCAGTATCAAGTATTGATGTCTCGGCAGGAAATATTAGTACATCTGCATGCAACGATGAAGATATGTATGTAGAAAAATCTAATGCAAAAGTGATCAAACAAAACTGCTGCTATTTCTGCCTAAAAATGCAGACACAACTTCCACGTCATTTGGAAACTATACACAGCAATGAACCTGAAGTAAAAAAGTTTATCGTATTACCTAAAGGCAACCCAGAAAGAAAAAAAATAATCGATATTATTCGAAGAAATGGTAATTTCAAATTCAACACAAGCTCAGAAATTAATAATGGAAAACTTATTGTATGAAGACGTCCCAATGAAAAATACAATAAGTCTGCTATAAACTTTATAGCATGTGGAAAATGTAAAGGTTTTTTTTCAAAAAACACCATACGTCACCATTCTCGAAAGTGCTTTAAAAAAGATTTTAGTAAACGTAAATGTGTCATGATTATGGGCAGACAAGTGACTTGCAGAATACATCCTTTAGCAAATGAAACATTAGAAAAAACAGTATTTCCAGTAATGCGGGAGGATGAAGTAACAAGAATTATACGTTATGATGAATTGTTAATAACATATGCAAATAAGTTATGTGTAAAGTACACAGCACAACACCAGCATGATATGATACGCGCAAGGTTGCGCCTTCTTGGTCGATTTCTTTTGGCTTTGAAAAAAATTAATACAAGTATTGATGATTTCAAGTCACTCTATTATCCGAAAGTATATGACGATTGTATTTCTGCAATTAATATAGTAGCAGGATACGATAAGGAAGAACATGTTTATAAAACTCCAGCAGTAGCAGCAAACTTAGCAACACTACTTAAACATGTGGGAAATCTACTTACTGCCGAATATATAAAGACAGAGGAGTCAGACAAAAAGAAATTAGTAAAAGATTTTTTAAAGCTACTAGTTGTCGATATAGGAACGAGCGTTAATAAAACTGTCATCGAAACACAGTCAGCTCATAAAAGACGTAAAAAAGTGAATCTCCCATCAATGCAAGATATTATGAAATTGTATAAGCATTTGGAAAAAGTAAGACGAGAAGCTTATATAACATTGGAAAAGATCTTTTCTTATGAAAATTGGGTTTCTTTAGCAGAAGCAACATTAACATCAATCCACGTATTCAATAGACGAAGGGCAGGAGAAATAGAACGAATACTTATTGAAGATTTTAAAAATTATGAAACAATAAATGAAAACATGTATAGCGATATATATACATCATTATCAGAGAAGAACCGAAAAATAGCAGAGAATTATAGTCGATTCTGTATAAGAGGTAAATTGGGACGTACCGTGCCTGTGCTGTTGACGAATGAACTGCTGAAATGCATTAATCTGATTTTACAATTTCGTACACAAGCCAAAGTACCGCAGAAAAACCCATATGTTTTTGGACTACGTGGTTACAACAAAAATAGATACAGATACCTAAGAGCTTGTCTTTTAATGCGCAAATTTGCACGAGAATGTAATGCAATTGAATCTTCAAGTTTACGTGGAACGATTTTACGAAAACACGTAGCAACTCATTGCATACAATTGAATCTTAATGATGTCGATGTTTCTGATTTGGCCACATTCATGGGACATGCAGAAAAAATACACCGAGAACATTACAGACAACCCCTAGCAAGCAGGGATATTCTTAAAATATCACAATATTTAGAGGCAGTTCAAGGTAATATGCAAGAATCTTCATCGGGCAGCAAAGACGAAGAAAATGAAGAAGGACCACCAGATGACAATAGTCTAGATAATAATAGTCTAACAACGGAGTATATAGATAAAGAAAATTCTTCATTAAGTAATTATATTGATATTTAATCTAATTTTTCTTTTTTTGTTTAATAGGAATAAAAGGTGAAAAATTTAAGATACTATATAATATTTTTAAAATAATCGAAATTTTTTAAACATTGATTTTATGTAGATAAGATAGACGTTTTGTATTTCATAATTTTTTCAACTGTTATTCAATATTATAATACTTCTAAATATTAAAATCAGTGTAGAAATTATTTTTAATGTTTGGATCAAATATTCACAATAATATAATAACATTATATGTAACATTTAAAAACTATTACAACATTAAGAACTATATATTTAAAAACGTCGCAACATTTATTATAAAATGTTATTGTAATATGGTTATGCTAATGATATCTTTTTAGATTTGTTGAAAGATTTTAAAAATATTAGATTGTAAAAGGGTTAGTGTACAAACATTGCCTTACACCACTTTATATGTAGATAACTTTATGTTACACGATATGTAAGCTAATTTTACCTTACGCGAAACGTGAGCCAATTTTACAGTGACACACGAAAAAAATATAAAAATATAACGTTACGTGCTACGTTATGGTTTTTTCGTACGTTGCCGTAAGATTGGCTCACGTATCGCGTAAGGTAAGATTATTCTTAAAGTGGCGTAAGGCGTAACGGTAATGTTCCCACACTGGCCCTAACATTTAATTTTTCACCTTGCACTTATTTATTCGAAATTTACTTATTTTTAATTTCAACAAAATTTTTATTTTAGACATATCTTCACGTGATACATCCAATAATAACATAATTAAGAGTCTTAAAAATAAATGGAAAAGGTCCAGTAAGTATTTTGCAATGACTTAATAAAATTAATATTTTAATTGTGTAAGTTACACAATATATAAACAAAGAATATTAGATCAACATTTTTGAATTTGTAAATATTTCTTAATCGGTCGAACATTTCATTCAACATAGGAACTATTTGTTTCTTGCACAATAAAAGCAATAAATACAAATGTATCATAATTTACTATATTATTACTTAATATTTAAAAATACCAACCAAAATGTTGTATGTCTTATACGATTTATCGTGTTTGTAATAATTTTACAATGTTTTTAGAAAAGAAAATTCGTACATAAAAATGATTAACTATCGAAAACATCAAAATAAAATTGAAAATTATATATATTTTTAGTTCTAATTTATATTTACTTTTTAGTATTACGTTCATATTTATAAATGCTGACATCCAT